CCCAGCCACTCGGGAGGCTGAGGCAGTAGGATCGCTTGAGCCCAGGAGTTTGAGGTTGCTGTGAGCTAGGCTAACGCCACGGCACTCACTCTAGCCAGGGCAACAGAGTGAGACTCTGTCTCAAAAAATAAAAAAAATAAAACTGCTCTAATGAAACTGTCATCCTTGAGGGCATATTTTGGTCACTTTGGTATTCATCATTGCACCTAAAAAAGTGCAGTTACAAGATAGGCATGGAGGAATATTGTTAAACTTTTTTTTAATAAATAAGAACAGAATCAAAAAGAAAAAAGAATAGAATCAAAAGATATTGCAGAAATAGTACACAGAGATCCCCCAGAGAGCCCCCTTTTTACCCAGTTTCCTCCAATGGTTACATTTTACGTAACTATAATACAATACCTAAATCAGGAAATTGATATTAGTAGAACATGTATATATAGTTCTAAGCCATTTATGTAGATTCCTATAACCACCACCACAATCAAGATACAAAACTATTCCATCACCAGAAAAGATCTCCCTCCTGCTACCCCTTTATAGTTGCATACTCACATACCCACATTCCTAATCCCTGGAACCATAACATACCAGATTTTTGCTGAATGAAGTAACAAATCATGCAACAATACTGACATGGTTCAAGGACTCTTCCCATCCTCAAAGAGCCCCCTAGTCCTCTCCTCTCAGAAAAGGAGGTAAGACATTTGCAGTTATTAATATAAGCCAAAAAATAAAACTGCTAGAGAAAGAGAGATTCCACAGATACCATCGATGGCAATGCAGACTAATGGAGGGCAACTAACATCAACTGGTTAATATGTGCCAGATGATTCTGTTACCTCCTTTAAACCTCATCAGAATCTCCCAATGAGAAGCACTATTAACCCCATCTTACAGATATGAAAATTAAGGTTCAAAGAAGTTAAGAACCTTGACTGAGATGACATAGCCAGTAGGAAGTTGCTACTTCTGTGTGATCTCAAAGGCAAGGTTTGTTGTACAACAACTAATGCCAACCACATACTGAACAAATACTGTGGCTCTGTCATGCCCAGCACAGTGCCAGGCACTGAGGGAAGCAATTAAAACAATAGCTACTGTTGAGCACTTACTATATGTGCAAACACTGTATTAAATGCATTACACATCAATTAATCCCTAGAACAACCGCTGAGTGGAATCATTATGCCATTCTGTCTGTGAGGAAAACTGAGGCTCAGGAAACAATCTGGCCCGGTTTGAAAGAGGGTTGAGATTCCAACCCAGGTGGGGCTGACTCCGAATCTCATGCTTTTAACTATGCTCTATTCAGTGCCTTGCTATACAACAGTGATTATTATTAATATCAGTTCTTGGTCTCGAGGGGCTTTTAGGCAAGTAACGATCACTTCCCTCTGAAAGTATCAGAGAACGCATGGAAGAAGTGGTACTGCAGTTTGCCCTCGAAGGATGGCTAGGTTTACACTGTCAAAAGCAAAGGACACTGATGGCAACAGCACTAGAGCAAACAAACCCGGGAAGAGTAAAACAACTGAACTCTGACACCTCGTGACCCTCCCAGCAGTAACTCCGTGACTCTTAAGGCGTGTCTCCGGAAGGCAGCACGCCCACCTCGCCCGAGGCCCAGCTCAGCCGGAAGTCCACTCACCGCACTCCCGCAGCAGCCCAGCTAGCTTCCACACTAGGGAGTCCTGCGGTGCGGTCGTCATGGCCACGGGACGCTGGGGGCGGAGCCTGGGAAAAAAGGAAGCGGAAGAGCCTCAGGTGGGCGGTAGTGCCAAAAGCCCAGGACGTCGGCGCAAACCGAGGCGTCCCGCGGAGAAAAGAGCAAGAAAGAGGAAAGAGAAAGAGCGTCCTCTTAGGCACCCTTTCGAGGAATGTAAGGCCTGATCAGCCATTCTGAACCTCCCGTCTAGGCCTCCTACCAGCTCCGCAGCCGTGCGCCTATCAGTGATGGACAGGAAGTCCCGCCCCGGAAGGAAGACGAGCTGAGGGACGACCGGAAAGCACGCCTCCAGGGTCTGAAGCCACTCCTTAAGTCGTATAAACGCGTTGCATGGGGGACGGGACAGACTTGTTCGAGCGGGGCGGTTCCTCCGCGGCTGTGGCTGCTAGGCGGACCCCGAGTTGGACCTGTACCACCCGCCGCTCCACACAGCCTGGGACTCCCTGTTGGTTTGTGGCGACCCCCGCTCCCCGCCCCGAGCCCACTGAGGAAAACCTGACTCGTTTTTTGCAGACTGGGCGGGGAAGCAAAGTTTGAAGAAATGGAATTTTCTGTTGGAGAAAACTCGTCCAAAGCGAATACTCGTTTTCTTATTAAAGGAGAGCGTGTCCTCCATAGGATGGAGTTATCTGTATAAAAGAGCTGAGGTTCTTCTTGATTAGATCTCTGTAGTAAAGCGTGGCAGGGGCCTCGTTTGGTAAAACATTCTTATTTTAAGCAAGTGAAGTTGCGATATAAAATGTGACTGGCTTTTTTTCTATCTAGGTGGAGACTATAAATGGAGCAGATTGTCATTTTATGATTTTGAACAATCTCCTTTTTGTTATATAAATAGTTGGAACATTGGGATTCATAGAAGGTTCAATATTATTCTGGCTTTACAGCTGTCATGAAAGGACTCATATGGGTACCCTGGGGGAAGCTGACCGTGAAAGGAGTCTGGAATGAGAATTTAGACCTAGCCCCACGTGTAGAGTATATAAGGCAAGGGTGTCACTTCTGGGGTCCTTTTGCCTCCTCCTTAGTCTCCCTACAAACTCGTTTATCTCTTTTCCTTCAGCAGTGTCAGACTCTCACATTAGCCATTGGTAATGCTCCACGTGAACCAAGTCCTTTGTTCATACTGTGTTTCATCTCATAACACCAGAATAGAAAAGTTCTTATCCCGAGTTTGAAAATGAGAAAACAAGGTCACAGAGGCTAGGTTACTTGTGAAGGTCGTTCAATTAGTAACCAGTAGCTCCAAGACTGCCAAAGTTTTTTCGTTCCGAGTTCTCATTGTAGCTTTCACCAGGCTCCCAGTCTAAGGTTGATATCAACTACTGAACTGGAGTAATAGATTAAGTAAAGAAAAATGTATTTTAACATAATTTCTGGTTTTGGGGGAGGGTGTCTTTTATGAAGTGCCCCTTTCTATAGAGGAAAATCAAAATGAATTGTAAGCCAGTTGAGAGTAGGAGTAGGGTTATAGCCATTGTTATCCCAAGTTGCCAATTCTAAAGGATCTTATTTTCTAAAGACAAAATATTTGAAATGGCAACGTATGCCCCTAAACCACCCAATTTAATGTTCATGGCATATTATGTGTGCTCTGAGCCAAAAGCCTAAAAGTGGCTAAGTGAAATATGTGGAAATACATCATGAACAGTGTTGGGGCTCAGAAAATAATACCCCAAAATAAAGTGCTTTGGCATGGTGATTACTTTGAACTAAAGGAGATCGGAAGACCCCAGAAGTGGTCTCTCTCTGACTTCCTACCTCCCACCCTTCTTTCTCTCCCAGTGCAAGCCTTTGAAACCAGAATTCCTCTTCCTCAAGGTGGGTCATAGAAACTAGAACCCCTCTCCCCTAAAAGCCAGCCATGACACCGAAAAATATCATTCTAACCTTCCCTTGCCTTTCTGTGTAAGAGCTGGCTATAAAGAAATTCTCTGACCTACCTTGAAGTATGGGTTCCCATACTTTAACTTCCAACTCTACCTCTCCTGGGCAAGAAACAGATTCTTTTGAAGTTCCTGACATTGCAGTGCCTTGAAATCTGTTTCAAAGGTGCCTCCTCAGCCCAGTTATTTTCTGAGAATTGCTGCATTCATACAAGTAGCCCTGTA